ACGGTTGCGAGGAGGACGTCTTCCCGGACGATTTTTCCGAGTGGGCCGACATTGACGGGGACGGCATCGGAAACAACAAGGACGACGATATGGACGGAGACGGAGTCCCCAACAACCTCGACACGCACCCGACGGACCCCGAGGACCGCGAGCGACGAACCCTATGGGCCCAGGCCGACAGCAGGAGGCAGAAAACACACAGAGACACAAAGATTCGTCGATCCCCCCGAATATATATATATATATATATATATATATAGCAGAATCTGCGACGCGGAGGGGAAGACGAACACCAGAGAAGATGGCAAATCTTGGGGGCCATGGGATTTGTGCCTACTTACTGCTGTTGGGCATAGTACCCATTCTTTCCGTACTCCTTTCGTTCGTGCCGAACCTTGGGAGGAGGGGGGAGGAGGGGGGGGAGGAGGAGGAGGAGGAGGAGGAGGAGGAGGAGGAGGAGGAGGAGGAGGAGGAGGAGGATTTGTGCCCCTTCACGAAATTTGTGGCGATGCCTACCGTGCTCGGGACGCCGTGGTCAGCGCCTCGGGGCAGCGGCCCCGCCCTCGGCCAGAGCTGGGCCCCGGCGGCTCCCCGCGGTCGCCCTCCCGCGCGAAGCTCGGCTCCTCCTCCTCCTCCCCCCTCTCCTCCTCCTCCTCCTCCTCCCTCCTCCCTCCTCCTCCTCCCTCCTCCTCCTCCTCCCTCCTCCCCTCCCTTCCTCCTCCTCTCCCCCTCCCCCTCCCCTCCCCCTCCCCCTCCTCCCTCCTCCTCCCTCCCTCCTCCTCCTCCTCCTCCTCCTCCTCCTCCTCCTCCTCCTCCTCCTCCTGCTCGTAGATCGACGAGCACTCCACAGACCCAGACCCCCCTCGCGTCGCGAAGAGATCGCGGCGGCAGGCTTTTCGCTACTTTCGGCCTGGGGGCCCTCACCGGGCCTCGGGGCCGTCGAAAGACGACTCGGGATGAAACCGGTCCCGGGGAATGGGTCTGGACCTTCGGGGGTCGCGTCATGAAAAAAACATGGCGTCGGGGGTCTGCTGGGTATGGGGCGCTCCAAAATTCCAGGCCTCCTAGGTGAGGTCCGAGTAGATGGGGTCGGAGGATCGCGCCGCATCACCGATGCATCGGCGATGCGGCTCGAAGTGGGCCCCGATTTTCTCCACGCCGACGTCGCCGATGCATCGCCGACGTCGCCAGTGCATCGCCGATGCATCACCGATGCATCAGCGATGCATCGCCGATGTATCGGCTATCCAGCGAGATCCTCTGACCCCATCTACTCGGACCCCATCCAGGATGTCTCTATATGGGGCGCTCCAAAAAGGGACTTGCCCTCAAGGATCGAAGGAGCTGTCATCCCTTCCTCGGCGGGAGGCGGCGGAAGGTCGGCGGAAGCAAAGCGAGGCCGTTTTCGCCTGCGGAAGCTCGGCGGAAGCCGGCGGAAGCAAAGGTCGACTTTCCGAGAGATGGCAACATGTTTGGAGCTCCGGGTTTCCAGAACCCGCCATATTTTGGTGTGCCATGATTTGCGGGCTGGAGCCCAGGTGCCCTGATTCCCGCCTGGTGGAGCGGCTGCCCTGCCAGTGCCATGAGGCTGCTGGTCTTCTCTAGCGCCGCACGTAGCGCCGTGCTTTGCTCCGGCTCTTGCTTGACCTGCCTTGCGACCACGAGACCGCTGGCATCCCGAGAGGCTGTAGCCCGGGTCGTCTGCGCACAGGGCCTTGCCTGTCGCCCAGGTGGCGCCCTCAAGATGCAGGCGCTGGCAGCCGTCGCCAGCACTCGACCACGCAACGGGAGAGACCCGTGGCCGGAGTGGCCTCTGGTGCGCGGCTTCCGGGGGGCGCGGTGGAGGCGAGCCCGAGCACGCAAGCCGTCGCTCTCGCGCTGCATCGCATGCAACGGTCGGCAGGCCGCTCACCTTCCCGGCCTGGGGTTGCTCCTGCGTGCAGCCGAAGTACGGAGCGCGGGTCTCCTTCTGGGAGGGCTTCCGAGACACGGAGTCGGTCCAGGCTGATTGTTCGCACAGCGAGCGCCAGCAGCCTGGGGATTTCAGGCCCCTCCTGGGCTCCAAGTGGAGCCGAAATCGCATGTTCACACGAAGCGTGGACCACGACATCTTCGAGGTGACATCTCAAGCGGCCGGCTTACACGCGCGCGAGTATGTTTTGTCTTGCGCTGCTTCTCCACGTAAGTTTCTTCTTCCTCGTCGTCGCCCTCATCCCCCAAGTCGCAGACGGACGTCTGGCAACCACGATGTCCACTCGGTCTGTTGCTGGCCTAGTATTAACTCGGGCCTGTCCCTCTACAGGGGGACTATTCCAGAATAGTCAAAAATTGTATGGGGACGATGTGTTGAGTATGATTGGCTATGTTTGAACATGTTTCGTACTTGTAATTTTTCGTCGAAAAGCCGCCTCTAGGGGGACATGCCCGACCTAAGCCTAGTATGCCTCTCTGGTGTGCGCGGCGTCGGAAGTGCGCTCCAGCCACGCTCGCTTCTCACCAAGCTGCGTGGTCGCAGGAATGTCCGCTCCAGATCCCTCTTGTTCAAACAAAGATTAGGTCGGGCATGTCCCTCTACAGGGGGAATGTTCAAAAATAGTCCACAAGTAAAATGGGGCGATGTTCGTTACTATTTTAGACTACTTGGGAATATGTTGTTTACTATTTCTCATTATTCGCTCAGAATCCGCCTGTAGGAGGACATGCCCGACCTAACACGAGGGCCGCAAGCCACTCCATAACCCCTGGAACGTGTCTGGAGCCGATCGTTGGGCCAATCATACGCTGACATCGTTCCCGTCCAACGGAATAATGAGTACCCATGCCCTCGCTGCCCGGATTCCCAGCCACTGCTTGAAGCGCGAGCGTCTTGCGCGGTGGAGCGTGCCCACGGGACCGCGATGACCACAAGGGTGCAGATATGGCTCAGGGGCGCCATCTACCAGGGGCGCTCCAGAGAGGGCCTCGCCTTCGAGGATCGAACGAGTTGGCGCCCCTTCGGCGGAAGGCGGCGGAAGCTGGCGGGAGTATCACGAGGCCGCTTCTGCTGGCGGCAGCAGAAGATGTGCCCCAAAGCCCAGACTCCCGACGTCATGATTTTTTCATGACGCAACCCCCAGAGGTCCGAACCCATCTCCGGAACCGGCTTCTCATCCTGAGTCGTTTTTTGACGGTCCCGAGGGCCAGCGAGGGCCCCCGGAGGCCGAGAATAGGGAAAACCTCCCGTCGCGATTTTTTCGTGATTCGAGGGGGTCCTCCTGGAACCCGCCACGTGGCCAGACGTCGGGCAGTGCAGGCATACCCCTACTCAAGCACCCCCCCGCCTGCGAGCCGCAGCTCCAGACCCAGACCAGGGGGGGGGAACGAACCTCTGCAGGCCGTGCGGGCGGGCGCGCGCACGGCGGCAGCGCTGTCGCCTGGCCGCCTTCGCGGGCGGGCGCGCGCAGGGCGGCAGCGCTGCAGCGCGGAGAGGAAACAACAAGAAAGGGGAAGGAAGAGGAGGAGGAGGAGGAGGAGGAGGAGGGTCAACACGGCGAGCAAACGCCACAAAACAGGCCAGGCGTCGTTCCGTCGCCCTCGGCCCCTCCACGGCCGGGCGCGCGCAGGGCCTCCGCGCGAGCAGCCGGCGCGCGGCCTCCCGGACGTCTCACGTGTGAATCCAGCCGTGTGCGGTGGGCCCCCAAGAGGCCCAAGGAGAACCCCAAGATGCCCCCAAGAGGCCCAAGGGGGCCGCCAAGATGCCCCCAAGAGTGCCCCATAGAGGCTCCCAAGATGCCCCCTCCTCCTGCTCCTCCTCCTCCTCCTCCCCCTCCCCCTCCTCCTCCTAGCTGCTAGCTTTCAGTCGGGCACGTCCCTCTACAGGAGGAAAATTCAAGAACAGGCAAAAAATCATCGGGGGGCGATGTTTCGACTATTTTTGACTGTGTTTGAATGTGTTTCGACTACTGCTTCATTCTTCTTCCACAATCCCTCTGTAGGAGGACATGCCCAACCTGATGCTAGCTGCTAGCTTGCTTCGAGAAAAGAAGAAGAAGAAGAAGAAGAAGAACAAGAAGAAGAGGAAGCAACAAAAAAAATGCCATGAGCACTTGTGGCGCTCTGGGCCAGGCATCCTCCCGAGGCCCAAGCCCCCCCCCTGGCGGTGCCCTCTCGGGGGCATCTTGTGTCGCATTAAGGGCCCCTCCGGCCGCCGTGGCCGCCTCTTGTGCCATCTCGAGCTTTCTTGGAGCCGTTTTTGATTGTCCATGCCCGAGCATGCTCCTCCTCCTCCTCCCCCTCCCTCCTCCTCCTCCTCCTCCTCCTCCTCCTCCTCCTCCTCCTCCCTCCTCTCCTCCTCCTCCTCCTTCATCCTCATCCCCCTCCTCCTCCCCCTCCCCCTCCTGGATGCAGCTCTAGAATCCCTCGCAAATCTAGCGAACCACCACGGTCAGACAAGAAACGAGAGGAGAAGAGAAACCACAGAGCAGAAAGAAGAGAGAGGGAGCAGAAGAGAAAGAGCGGTAGCGAGCACGACGAGAACGACGACGACACGAACCGACCCCCGCCGCCAGCGCACCCCGAGCCCCGCGCGCCCCACGGGTCCGGCCTTATGGTCTCTGGCGGATTTCTTGGATCCGCGCTGGGTCTCCCCGGCGGCGCCTCCGGCGCCGCCCCTGGCGCGCTCCGCGCGCCAGAGAAGGGGGTCCAGCGCAGATCCAGGAAATCCGCGCATACCGTTGTTTCTTCTTCTATGGCTGGTGTACACCATCACCGACTTCACCATATCGGAATGTTGCAGTCGACGTCTCGACGCGACGCGCCGATTCCGACATTCGTGCAGTCCCGCTATTGCCTCTGCGAACAATGCCAGCGTCGAGAACTTACTTGATGCCCGAGCTCGTGGATCAGCGGTCATCTAGGCCGCCTAGATGGGGTCCGAGTAGATGGGGTCGGAGGAGAGCGCCGCATCGCCGATGCATCAGCGATGCGGATCGATGTGGAGCCCGATTTTCTCCACGCCGACGTCGCCGATGCATCGCTGGCGTCGCGGGTGCATCGCCGATGCATCCCTGATGCATCGACGATGTAACGGCCATGCGGCGCAATCCTTCGACCCTATCTACTCCGACACAATCTAAGAGGCCTCTAGGTCAGGAGACGCCAACGATACAGCAGGCACATCAAATAAGAAACTGGCCTGCCAGCAGGTGACCCACGGAAGTGTCTTAGCCCCCAAGGGCCCCAGGAGGCTCACCGAAGCCCTGGGGCACTTCAGGAAGCGCAAGTCTCGACTAAGAATGCGCACTCTGATTTCTTGTATCGTCGTCATCGTCGTCGTCATAATGGTCATTATCGTCATAATCGGTACTATCGTGTGCGCTAAGATCTCTTGTAGCAAGAGTTCTTATCGGATGTGTCTACTGTACGCTAACACCGAGCCTGGCCAGGTCCATCCTGGGCCCAACATGGATGGGCCTGGCTGCGATCCGTGCGGATGTTCAGGCGACGCCCTCCGATAGGCCGCAGGGGCCTCCAGATGCTTCCCGAAGCCTTCAGGGCCCCCTTCGGGCGGCCGAACAAAGGGTCCAGAGCGTGCGGAAACCTCGATGCTCGGCATCCCTCGACGCTCGATCCCGCACGAGGAGTGGGCGGATCTGGACGGGGATGGCATCGGAGACAACAAGGACAACGACCGAGACGGCGACGGGTTCCCCAACAACCAGGATTGGCGGCGCGCGCAATGGGGTGGGGCGTGGGGCGAAGGGAACCGGTTGGAAAGTGGGCTGCTCAGAAGGATCTAAGGTTTTTTGAAAGGAGGGGGCGCGTCTAAGAGGCCGTTTGGCCCCTTAGAAGGCCACCCCATTGGACCCACTCCCGTGTGCGCGCCGCCAACAGGACGCCTACCCTGACGACCCAGACAGGTTCTTGGACGACGGGGACTTCGAGATCTACGACGACGTCTCCGCCGCGGCTCTGGGAGGGGCTCGATGCACGCACCACATTGTTAGGTCGGCCACGGAGCTCGGTGTATGGGCGCCCCGACTTCCACAGACACGGTAAGCCAGAGTTCCTATCCATCGAACTCCCTAGGCGACCAAGCGACGTGACGTGCCCACGGGCCCCAAAAGGTCTCGACCCCTTCCCTGGGGGTAGCCGTCCGTCCTGAAACCATTACGGATTGCCCAGGGAGCCGAAGCGAGCCCCGCAGGAGCTTAAATCAACCACACAGCGCCTGGGTTGAAAACTGACCGGGACGTACCCGACCATTTCTTCACGCGAAGCGAATAGTTTTACGAACGCTCCATACAAAAGAACACATCGCCAGATGTGCACGATCAGGGCTGCCCTCATCTCCGCCGCGCCTCCCATGAGTCCACGAAAGTAGAGGCAGTTGCGCAGTTCATAGCCTCCCAGGGAGCCGCGAGGTCTTGGCTGGATCCGCGTGGCCCTGGTCTCCGTTGGACCTTCCAGGAGCCCACGAAAGCGGCGACAGATGCACAGTTCGCCGCAACACAAGGAGCTGCGAGATCTCAAATGATCCGTTTACTCCCCGACACAGCCGTGCCTCGCACGAGCCCACGAAAGTGGCGAAAGTTGCACAGTTCGCAACTATCCAGGGAGCAGCGAGGTCTGAAATGGTCCGTTTGCTCCCCGACTCCGCCGTGCCTCCCAGAGGCCCACGAAAGCGGCGATCGTTGCACAGTTCGCAGCCATCCATTGAGCAGCGAGGTCTCAAATGATCTGTTTGCTCTCCGACTCCGCCGTGCTTCCCAGGAGCCCACGAAAGTGGCGACGGTTGCACAGTTCGCAGCCGCCGAGGGAGCAGCGAGGTCTCAAATGATCCGTTTGCGCCCCGACTCCGCCGTGCCTACCAAGAGCCCACGAAAGTGGCGACATGTGCACAGTTCGCAGCAAACCCAGGGAGCCGCGAGATTTCAGATGATCCGTTTACTCCCCGATCTCCCCGTGCCACCCAGGAGCCCACGAAAGTGGCGATCGTTGCACAGTTCGCAGCAAACCCAGGGAGCCGCGAGATTTCAGATGATCCGTTTACTCCCCGATCTCCCCGTGCCACCCAGGAGCACGAAAGTGGCGACGGTTGCACAGCTCGAAGCCACCCAGGGAGCAGCGCAGCAAGTGGCAGGAGGCGGGGGGAGAAGGAGGAGGAGAAGGAGAAGAAAGAGACGCGACCGCAGTGCTCTAGTCATAACGAGAACCCAACACACAGGAGCGTCGGGAAAAACACCACGCCGGAGGTCTGAGATCGGCTACGCGCATGAGGGACCCTTCGCTGGAGGAACGTTTGTGGTGTGTGGGCGCACAAGGGTCCCGCCGAGCGCTTGTTTGTTCGCCTGGGTTTGGCCCCCCCGAGGCCCTCGGAATCCGCACACTCGATGTCACCCTTGCCGCCCAGACCATCCGACGTCATGATTTTTCCAAAGTGGGCCCGCGGAGGTCTCGACCCAGAGATTCAAGAAATCCGCGCGGAGCGCCAAAAAGGTTATGTTTGTGCCATTGTTCTTGTTCTACCTCCATTCCTTTTCTTTACAAGTAATATGTAATTTCGCCCTGTCGCACCCCGAGGCAAGTTTTTAGGGCGGGCCGGGCGTTTCGCCTGAGATTTCCTCACCAGTTATGATTCTGAAGTTTAAAAATTGGCAACAGTTTCACAGATGGAGGGCGGGTCGCTTTCAAAATTTGGCTCTCGCTTTAGCGCGGCGCACATTCGTTTAAACAAATTGCAGGAGCTTCACGCATTGAGGGCGGCTGGTTTTCAAAATGTGGCTCTCGCTTTAGAGCGGTACACATTCGCTTAAAAATTGTGCAAGAGCTTCACGGAGTGAGGGCGGGTGGCTTTCAAAATGTGGCTCTCGCCTTAACGCGGCGCACATTCGTTTTAAACAGTTGCGAGAGCTTCACGCATTGACGGCGAGTCGTTTTCAATATGTGGCTCTCGCCTTAGCGCCGCGCACATTCGATTACAAAATTTTCAAGAATTTCACGGATTGAGGGCGGTTCCTTTTCAAAATGTGGCTCTCGCCGTAGCGCCGCGCACATTCGTTTTCAAAATTTGCAAGAGTTTCACGGATTCCCATCATCGACGTACCAGGAATGGTGTCTTGGAAGGAATCAGGATTATACGGGTGCAACAGTTACGTTGATTCTCTGTGTTGAAGTCCTACGAATGGCATTCTGACGCGATTCAGGGTCTTCAAGACGCAACAGCCAGGTTGATCCGTGACGTTGGAAACCCGAGAACAATGCCGTGGCATGCTTCAGGGACTTCAAACGGGCGTCTTCTAACGAGGCAGTTCCATCAATGGAAGTGAACTGTTGTATGGGGCATCTGAAGAGGGAGTTTGAAGGGAGGGTTTACTCCACCATCGTTGATGACTCTTGGGTTTACACTGGTCCTCCTCCTCCTCCTCCGCCTCCTCCTCCTCTTCCTCCTCCTCCTTCTCCTCTTCCTCCTCCTCCTCCTCCTCCTCCTCCCCTTCCCTTACTGGCGCTGGCTGGCTATTGTCCGCCCTTGCCCGCCCACGCTTTGGGGCTGGCCGTCTCCAGCACTGGCTTCTCATCCTGAGTCGTCTCAGGACGGTCCCCGGGCGCGGTGAAGGCCTCAAGGGGCCGAAGATTTGCCAACAAAAATATACCGTCGTGGTTTTTGTTGACGACGCGTCCTCGAGTGCAGCCGATGAGTGCCTTTGGCATCGCTCGGACGTATTGCGAGGGCAATCGAGGAGCATCCTGGATCATCGAGCAAAAACGCGCACGGCGATGGCAAGATGAGTACATCAAGCCCTTCCCAGGCTCCTGCTGGAGCTCCCGCGCCCACCGCTGGCGCACCCTCGCCGGACACCGACGGCGACGGTGTCCCCGACAGCAAGGATCCGGCCCGGGGAACGGCGGAGAACGCGCCCGCGGTCGTCTGGAAGTCAGGTTTGTTCGACCTGCTTGGGAGACCCAGGCCGAGGTTCCGAGGCGCGATGGTCGACCCTGAGATTTGGGCGTCGCGATTTTTGCACACTGGGCGGGCTTGCCCTGTTTCGAGCCCCTGGGCCATCGCGGATCGATCCAGCTCGAAAAATGCCGCAGAGAGATGGTGTGTGCGGCTCCGGTATTGGTTTGCTTTGCGATGTTGTCATATTTATCGTAGCGTCGGATCTCAGGGAAGGCGTTTGGGTTTTATGGCCCCCCTTGTTGGGCCTCCGGGAGGCTTCTCGTCGCGAGGGCCGGAATCCGAAGTTCTGGCCGAAGAGCACCACACTCAGATCACCGCGGGGGGTGCTAAGTGGAAAAGGGGCTATATCACCGAGCGCGTTCCACTACTCGCAAAATGCCAACTCGCAAACGTCCGAAAAAAAACACATGGTTTCCTCGACGTAATGGATCGTAAATCCCCCGTGGCGGGTCCAGGCCATTTGCGAGTAGCTGCTTTGCGAGTAGTGGAACGCGCTTGTCTATTATAAGTGGGCCTTACGGACGGTGCCGCCGACCCTGAAGGGGGACGGCGGCGGCGGGCGGCGACGACGACGCTGACGCTCTGGAACCCTTCTTGGGGCTCTCTTGGCAGCATCTTGGGCTCTGTTTGGGGGCCTTTTGGGAGAATTCTTGAGAAGTTCCGTGGTCACGTGGAGCCGCACTGGAGCGGATCTGAGGCCTTCCAGAGGTATGTAGGAAAATGCGCAGCACCCCGCAACAGCAGATAAGAGCGAGGGGGGCGCCTCCGGGGAGGGGGGTCCGGGAGGAGCGGGGGGGGTCCCTTTGTCCACAGGTGGAAGGCGGGGGGAGATGATGTCTTAATTTCCCCCGTCCGCAGGGAGACTACCCCTTGCCCCCCTTGTCCACGGGAGGGACCCCCTGGGGGTGAGGTCGCGACCTCTGGGACCCCCACTCTAAAGCGAGCTGAGGGACGTAAGGAGTGGAAGCGAGCGTGCGCCCGCGGCCGCGTCGGCTCAAGCGGCCGCCCGCCCAAATATGACTGTGCCTCACTGTGAGGCACACAATCGTTATCGAGACCACAAGGATCTTCCGATTGCTTAAGATGGCACATCCTCTCCTACTGGGACTATCGTTACTACGGTACAACAGAGCTGGAGCTTGGCTTCGCCTAAGGCGAAGCTGCTGGCTGGGTCTCCCAGCCCCTTTCAAACTTGGTAGCGGAGCTGGCCTATGGTGGCCAGGTTCTGCTTTACTCCTCACCACTCACGGCACTATCTGGTGGACTACGGACATGGTGGAACATCAGGGTGCAGTGGGCTTGCGTGGAGGAATGTACATATATCCGCAGTACCGCAAGGACACTTGCAGCGACACCTCTGTTCAAGCGGAGGTCTCTTACTTACACCCTACCTCCCTGCGCTTCTACACTCCTGAAGTCCACCCACCTACTCCAAGTGGAAATTTCTTCGAAGGTATAATGCATGGAAACGTGCGATACGAAATACTGCCGCCTCCGACCCCACGCAGACTTACGACTACACAACGGAAGTCCCACCCGACTATATCCGACTACGACCTCCGAGGCCATTGGATTGGTGTTACTATCTTTGGGCTTACATGGGTCGCTATCGGGTGCGCGGTAGGACATATGCGTGGCGGAGACGACACGAGAACGACAGGCCCCAATTGGGACCCAGCCGGTCAAGTACCTCTTCGCGAATTCGTCCGCGAAGTACATGCCTGGATCAGTGTGACCACAGGCAACATGACGCCCTCCCAGCAGGCTGCAGCTCTGCAGCGAGGTTTGGGAGGTCTCGCACGGACCATAGCCATGAGAGTCCCTCCAGCACTTATTAATTGTGGTTCAACATAGGTGGCCGCCACACTGACGGCGCCACCTACATCATGTTCCTCTTAAGCACGAAGTTCGAGAACATAGAAGAGGAGCGCCAACTCAACTCTGCCACGGCTCTCATTGATTTCCGAGTCCATGCGGGCGAACATATCGACCAGACGTTAGCACGGTTTGAGATAGCCTGCTACGAAGTTGAAACAGCCTGCTTCAACATCCCCAAGTTCCAAATCCTGACAGTGATAATTTTCAGAGCCCTTGGAATGGGGACATCGCGTGCACAACAACTCCTGCAGCCTCTAAACCACCATATGCCGAGAGACCAACAACAATGTGACGCTCTACTTGAAAGTATGAGGCCATATGCTCACATTGCTGAGAGAACTCCCGGCAATATTGGTGGTATCTTTAGTCACGGTCACCGAACCGAGACCGTCCACGTGGAGGCTAACGCAGGGCAACCTGCCAACAACGTCTGGAATGATGATGCACAACCAACTGAGATCACTAAACTGCTGGCTCAGAATGGTGGAACAGCCTCGGGGTCGCAAGGCTCCTGGGCCAGGCTTCGAGGACCGCCCGACGCGGTCTCCCCCATACAAGCCATGACCCTAATGGGCACAGCGGGGCAACCCGCCGGGTCCTACTTCGACTCCGGTACTGATACAGATACGTCTCCAGATGACGAAGCTACCGCCCTTGTTTACTCTGATATGCCTACATACCTTACTGAAGAGCAGCAAGCCCAATGGTTATTTTTAGGTTATCAAAAACACAAGCGTCGCTGGCGGAGATCCATGAAGAAACCAGTCCGAAAGGTAAGGCGTATCGCACGCCGATCACTTCAAGGAAAAGGCAAAGGTCGAAGTAAAGGTAAAGGTAAGCTTTGGCAATTGCATGGTAGAGGCACATTAGCATTCTTAGCATCTCTTACTGGACCTCAGCACGATGAAATGTTCTTAGGTGCCGGCAGAAACCGCAGGCATGCATCAGGCAAAGGTAAAGGACGACGGGGGAACCTAAAGGATGCCAGCGGTAAAACTATGGAGTGCGACATATGCCACAGTACACAACATTTCCGACGCGAATGCCCTCAAGGTGATGGAAGAGGCAGGGGTCCGTCAATACATCTGGCTCAAGCAGACTCCGACATACAGTACGTTGACTGGGAGTCGCTTTTAGCTGGCCCCGCCGATAGCTCAGCCACAATTGTTAATTTCATGGCTGCCGGACATCTCAGCGCCCGTATGACCTTCGAGAATTACGCCGACGAGCTGTTCGAGGAGGTGCTTACTGGCCACAACGACACCGATTTGGCAGAATGGCTGGGTATCCCCATCGCGGGGCTACCTGCAGATATTGAGTTTGTCGAGAATTTCCACATGCCCGCTGACGGAGATGTTGGCATGGCGGGGGCACCCGCGGATTCAGAATCGACCATTCCTGCAGCAGACGAAGAAATACAGGCGATGCTCTATCCTCGGGTGATTGGAAATCCGACAGACATGGAATTAATCGACGATGATCCTCTGCGTGGAAGCCCGCGAGACGTTGGTGATCTATCCGAGCGCATTCAATATGAGCTTGGTCATAATGAAGAATGTCAATACACTTTTGTTGCTTCAGATCGGCCCATGAGCCGCCAGAAGCGATCGACAAGCCGCCCGGTCTGGAGGAAGAAGAACTATCGCGACGACGACGAGGACGAAGAACGGGAAGATAGTGACAGCATGATACGTCGCGGTCGGGCCCCCAGTCGCACAGCAGATCGCACGGGCGCCCGCTCCAGCGGTGCTCTCTCTAGCGGTCGTCAGCGCCCTTATCCTCCTGATGCGGGAGCCCCAAAGGCCCCGCCATGGCAGGCTGACAGACCTGACACTCCCCCAAGGATGAGCGCCCGCGGGGACACCCGCCTCAAGATGATCACCCGCGAGAAGAAGAGCCAGAAGGTAGAATACAGCGCCTTAACGGTGACACGGAAGCTGGATTGGCTCGTCAGGACATACCTGAGAATCAGACCAGCACTGGCATTCTCTTCGCAAGACCAAACGAGACGAGAAAAGGCGAGATCATACGCTCGACAAGGGCAGGACCTGTTAATTCACCAGATAAGATGGTCACGCGCAACCTCAAGACGGCTACTATCCAGGAACGGAAACTCTACAGAAACGTCTGTTGTTCATGCCCCGAATACGTTGACCATCAGCTTGGCTGCCCCATGAGACGCCCATCAAGAAGCTCGAATTTTAAAAAGGACACCGTGGGTTTGGTCTCACGGTGATGGTCGGAGTCACTGCACCGACCCCAATGCAACGCCATATGAGGAGCAGCTGACGGAGAGCGACTACGACCACGCCACAGCTGATGAAACAGCCCGCAAAAACCTCATATGGAAGAATTTGATACCTACTCACGATTCGGCGCAGTTCAATCGCGATTGGCACGCAGGGAAACCTGCTGATTACAAATCAGAAGAAGATCAACAAGAAGCTGATGAAGCTGAAGATGATGAGATGGCTGAAGGAGTTGATCTCACGGACACGGCCCCTGAAGGGTACGCGTCGGACGATTCGGGCATTGCGGACGCTACGTGTCAGACGAATATTCCGATCGATCCCAGGCACGTTGTTACTGAGAAGATGGATCTCCCCCCTGAGAGGCGGATTGTTTACCGCGCTCAAGGTGTGGGCTGGATAAAGGCAAGCAGAGTCGAAAGACGCAGCGCCGCTACATACCTTCTCATCGGTAAACAAAAGACCACTATTGAGAACATGGCCCTCAGGCTACCAGATGAACGCGATTTGAACCCTGACCGAGGCCCCATACGTCATGGGCGGGGGGCACCGGCAGGAGCCACAGCTAAGGCAACTCCTAGGCCGAAGCCAGAGGCGATCATCGATATCCATCCACGTTCGGAGCCATCAAGTCCATCGCTCGGCCCTGATCAGTTCAGACCTAAACGAAAGAAAAGGAAGAGCCCAGATGACCCCAACCCTGGAGACAGCAAACAGCAGCGATCTGCGAGGCAACCTGCTGACCGACAACGATCCAGAGGACCAGCTGCGGCTGCCGCTGCAGCTGCATTTCAGGGCACCAGTA